TTTCTCTTAAGTATTAATTGTGTGCATGTACCATCATAAAATTAAGATGTTATTTTTACTACAGTTGTACCCCACTTAACGCGGTAAATAGAACCCAGAGGGTCCCGTGTTAAGTGAAATCCGCGTTAAGTGAACAACAGAACATATGGGATTAATTCCAATAGAAACCAGCCCGACCCCCAAACTCCACTTTTTGACAACACATAACTATGTTGTAGTAAAACTTTTATCTTAACTTTATGATGGTATGAAAAAACAAGTAATATAGAAGAGGTTAGGTTAGGAAAAATAAAGGTTAACATAGGAAAAATAAAGGTTACGTTAGAGAAACTAAAAGTTAGGTGGAACACTTACGGTAGTAGAAGAGATGGGTCGGCATACGGGGATGGAGGCTGGTTCCGAGGCAGAGGGCAGATTACTGGCCTTCAGGTGAATCACCATTACTAGGTGAATCACCATCACTGTCACTTACAGTTGTCAGGGCTTCCCTGACAAATCCCTCAAAGTCAACTTCACTGTCACTATCACTGGCTTGGGTTGGCTGTGGTGGGTTGCGGGCGAAGAACTCGGTTATGCTTTTTTGACGGCTGGTGTTTATGTTGTCATGATACACCGTGATGTACGGCTCCATAGCCTGCACCAGCCGGGTATGGAAGACTTCATAGCGGTCATCGTCATTGTCGCAGGAAAGGACGGACTTCATTTTCTCTGCAAACTCTATGGCACACTTAATATCACTATGACTTAAACTAGGTTCTTCGGAGAATGACGCACCTTCTTCCTCCTCTTCACTGGCGTGTTCTTCTTCCAACATCTCATCGGCAGTCACTTCAGGATCTCTGATCACCTCCAGGATGTCTTCGTTGGTGGTCTCGGAGAAGCCTTCAGCTGTAATATTGAGCGCAGCTTCTCTGGCAAGGTCCACTGCTACTGCAACAGTCTGAACCTCACCAGTCACAGGTTCACTCCTCCTCTCACCTGGTATGCCATGCAACACATGTCTCCATGCGTGACGAATCGTAGCAATAGTCAGCAGATCCCATGCCTCCACCAAGAAGTCTACAGCTTGTTTAACGTTAAACTTCTTCCAAAATTGTTTGACGAGAAGTTCTTGAGTCACCACCTCTTGTTCCTTGTCCTCGTCGCTTTTGCTCTCGCTGTCGGTGTCACCCAGCTTACGCAACTCATCCTTGGTGTTGGTAGAGTCGTTCAGGAGCTTGAACTTCTTTGCAGAGTACGCAGCTTTCACATTGCAGATCAACGCCTGGTCCATGGGCTGGATTAATGACGTAGTGTTGGGAGGAAGGAAGACCACTTTTACGTTGGGGTGACGATCCATAAGTAGGGGCGAGTGTCCAGGTGCGTTGTCAAGGAGCAACAAAATATTGAATGAAACATTCTGTTGCTCGCAGAATTTCTTCACGTCGGGAACAAAACAGTTGTCAAACCAGAAGAGGGACAGAGAAGAGGACATCCACGCCTTACGTGCGGTTAGCCAGTGGACATTAAGCTTGTTCATGTCCATATTCTTGTAGGCGTGCGGCTTGCGGGCTGTGTGAATCACCGATAACTTTGGTTTACAGGTACCGGAGGCATTGGTGGTAAACAGGACGGTGATGCGTTCCTTCTGCAACTTCCGACCCCTTACCTTGCTGGCAGACTGGACAACGAAGGTCTTGGAAGGTAGCTTTTTCCAGAAAAGACCAGATTCGTCCATGTTAAACACCTGGTCGTCAGTGTACTGTCCTTCCTCCATAATCTCACGTAAGAACGGAGGAAAATCTCTAGCCGCCACACGGTCAGCACTCGCTTCCTCACCACCAATGTTGATGTTGGTGATCTTGTTCCTCTTCTTAAACCTATGCAGCCAACCAGAGGAAGCATTGAAGGGTTTGGGCTCTGCAATTCCCAGCTTACGTGACACTGCTGCGTATAGCTCACGTGCGTACTCCTGCACTGAGCGCGTGTCCACCGCCATGTTGCGTCGCGCCTGACGAATCAAATAACTCACCAGCAAATTTTCCACTTTTGCCAGCACCCTGTTCTGGCAATACCTGATAGATGAAGCACCTGCAGACTTTGTGATTTTCATGTGCTCTTTGATCTTGGCTGCATCCTTCTTGATCGTGCGAATCGTAGATTCGTTGACGCCATGCTGGCGCGCGAGATCAACTTGCCGTGTTCCTTTCTCCAAATCTTGAACAATTTGGTACTTCACCTCGTAGCTTAAGGAACGTCGTGTCTTCTTTGGCTTAGTGCCGCTGGGTCCAGGTAAGGAAAGGTCTCTCTCTGGTGGCGGTGGTGGTCCGGCGGAAGCCATTTTACGGAACAATGGATGCGCGTTTACACGGTGTGGCCTTGAGGGATGAAACTGTCGCGGCTAGGTCAAGCGTCGTCTTTCCTCCCTCCCTCCCTCCCCGGGGTGGTCACGTCATAATACTTTAAGCCAATTACAGCTAGCAGCAGAGGAGGGTAGAGATGCATGGCCAATCACAGTCCGATACATCATATGACGTCAGTGATAACGCAACAAAGACACACACTGCGCAACCTTACCGCGCCGCTTGCCCAAGCGGAGGGAGGAGGAGGGAGAGGAGATGAGCGCAGGCAGGCAGGCGGGCGGGTGGCGCGTGGGGCAAATCTAAAAATAGCGTCTCGAGCCGGACACTCACCGCGTATATGATGAAAAAATCCGTGTTAAGTGAAAGTTCAGCTCTGGCAAGGCACCGCGTATACGGTAAAACGCGCTAAGTGAAACCGCGTTAGGCGGGGTAATAGTGTACAACATAGTTATGTGTCTTCAAAAAGTGGAGTTTGGGGGTCGGGCCGGTTTCTATTGGAATTAATCCCATATGTTCTGTTGTTCACTTAACGCGGATTTCACTTAACGCGGGACCCTCTGGGTTCTATTGACTGCGTTAAGTGGGGTACAACTGTGTGTGTGTGTATATATATATATATATATATATATATATATATATATATATATATATATATATATATATATATATATATATATATATATATATATATATATATATATATATATATATATATACTAGAACTCATAAAACACTAAAGTAATGTGATACAGGTTGTACCTCTCTAGTCCGGCAATCTCGGGACCTGACCGGTGCCGAATCATGTTAATTTTCGGACCATGGAAATTCACCCTTTTCCTGGATAGATAGTGACTTGTGCTTACCCTTGGAAGCACTAGCACCACTTTCACTTCGTGGTCTCTTTGAAGACATATTGAAGGGTTAAATGTTGTACAGTATGTTCTCAAATTTTGCGAGTTTTTAATTCAACGTTTTTTATTTGGACACAAAAAACACAACACAATTTCAAATTTCGACGGAGGAAACTCAAATTTTGACGGGTTTGAACGGCCTACCAACGTTCAGACATGCACAATCATGTAAACAGTGTCATTTCTCTTATGTACAAAAGATTAATTTTTGTTTATTACTGATTGTCTTTTTGATTGAATTAATGTTTATGTGTGCAAAATGAACAATACAATACATTAATAATACGTAAATATTAAAACACGAGGAGACGAGAAGGCATTGTTTTTGTTGTTTACAAAACCAGTGACTGACTGGTTCCACATATAAAACTGGTTGTAGCTGTAGTAAAATTAATGTAAAAAATTTATATGGTTGTTTTAAGTAATGTTATATAATGCTAATAAATGGAACTGCGCGTATGTAAGTGCTCACATGTGAAGGCATATCGTTATTACTGTACATAAAAATATGAAAGCAACACTTATTTACTGTTCATATATATTTTCATTAATGTTCTGAATTTAAAACAAAAATTTTACCCACCAGTGGTGGTAAAGTTGAAAACATAAGGACAGCCAATGTTGTTGTGTGTTTTTTTACTCGGATGACAAAGTTGCCAAGTCTTCAGGTTCAACTCTAGCTGAAACTGTAGAACATAAAAACTTTTTCTGTGTTGTTTTTAGTTTTTATTTAACTTTATCTGTGTTATTTTCGTTGGTTTATTAGGATGTTGCTTTATTACAGGCAGTAATTTGCCCAAAAAGTACGGTAAATAAGGCAAAATTTCGCCAAACATCGAAAGTACCAGACTCAAATTAATTTTCTCCATGGGCAAACTAAAATCTTTCCGGACCATGGGAGTTTCCGGACCACAGAATGCCGGACTAGAGGGGTACACCCTGTACAGGTGATCAATTTTTTTCTCTAGTGCAAAATATATGACGTTTATATTCAAATTATTCACTGTCTTGCAAGGATTCCAGCAATGCAAATTATATTCTCCTAACTTTGGTCTGTGATATTATATAAGATAAAAACTGTGAGCCTAAAACCACCAAACACTGGCTGGTAGGGGGGGAGGGAGGGGGGGCAGTTGACAGTGACATGTTTGACAGTTGGCGCCGAAGGTCTAGTGAAGTATTTATTTGTGTATTTATGTCCTTTAGATTGAGTTTTTGTTGTTTGCTTATAAAATGTCATAGAAGTGACCGGGGAAAATATAATTTACATTGCTGGAATTCTTTTAAGATATTGATTAATTTGAATAAAAACGTCATATATTTTGCAAAAGAGATACAAATTTTAGTACATTAGTACATTTTAATAATGTACAATTTTTTCAACTGTGTTTATGGGGAGATTTACATAAATTTCTGGGTGTCCCTTTTTCTTCTCAGCACCACAAGAACTCTCACTTTTATGCTTGCCAGCCATTTTAAAGGGAATTACAAACAAAAATTTTGTTAGGACACAGCGCAACCACTAACGTCGGGACTCAAAAATACGTAATTTGAAATTTTTTTGTATGACTGCGGCGGTCGTATGTCCGGGTGGTTGTAAGTCGAGGAGTACCTACAGTTAAATAACAAACCGGCTATGCTACCAAACTTCCTCACTTTATATTCTTACAACTATAAATATTCTACCTATATCTTCTATACGAGTTTTGACCTGTATTACACAAGGCAATAGTGTTGAAGGATGGGACAGTTACGGAGTTTACAGGAAGAGAAGCACCGGTCATCCCCTGCCTCAGATACACACCAGATAGGTTCACTAGCCCTGTGATGGACTGTAGGGAGAAGAGTGACTGAAGATATTCTCTTTCAGTAGGTCATGCTGGGTTTTTATTTTGGCCTAAAAGATCCTGATTGGACAGCCATAGTTTTGAGAATCAGTTATTGATTAATCTCAATAGAAAGATTTGCAAATAAACAAGTGTAATGCTGTGTATCTTTTATTTTAATCTTTAGTTAAATAGTTTTTTTTTATAATTTACAGTATTGTGGATATATTTTAATATTTGAGACAATTAATAATTTTTTTGTTACTTTATAATTTCAGTACTTGAGTATTTTAAGGAGTATTTTAAGAATGAGATACTTTTTTACTTCTATTTGAGTACATTGACATTTGAATACTTTTACTTCATCTTGAGTAACATTTTGCCAATGTAACAATACTTTTACTAATTATAAGTGTGCAGTACTTTGTGTAAATTACTTTTTAAAATTAATTTGATTAAAAACATGTTTGTTGTTTTGTTTTTTCAATGGCGGTCTTTTTGAAAACATTTTCTCTAAGGTGGACATCCTCTTATCCTGGACACCCCTCCCCCCTCAATAGTCCGCCCTAGCGAGGTTTTATTACATATTAAAGTATTAGATTTTTGGGTCCGCAGCCCTTTTAATAAATATGAGATCTTTTCTTCATCATCCTTCTTCTTTCATATTACTTATTTGACTGGAATTCCCGGCCGAATAACCATTGGCTATTTGACCTGGACCCGCAGGGGTTGTGTATGATTTTACTATACTTTTATTTAAATGGGATTCTGGTCAGGATAGCTGTGGGCATTACTATAGTCATTACACTATTATTTCAATCTTGAATGCTTTATCAGTATCTTTGTATTCTGATACTTCAAGATGTCCCACCTCTTTCATGAACATAGATAAGGTTAGGTTAGGTTAGGTTACAAATATAGCAAAATACAGTAATAATTAATCACATGGTACAGTTGCAGAAATGTGTTCCGACACCCTCTGTGGTAACCCGTGTCTCCAAACGGCAACGTTACAGTAGTATTATCACTATTTATGAATGAAAGGGCATTGGTGTTGTAACGATGGACGTGAAAGGTGGATTGGTTTGCTATAGGTCATAAAGGTTTGGCCGTTTGGAGACACTGGCTACCTCAGGGGGGGAAGTAACAAATTTCTGCAACTGTAAAATACACATTAAAATTATACATAATCCAGTCAAATAACCAGTGGTTATTCAGCTGGATACTGGTCAAATAACCCCTGCCTCCTTTAACAGGGAATTCAACAGGCTTATTACAGGTACCAGGACATGAAATTATATAACTAAAACTAGCCTTTAAAGTATCAAATCACAGTGCTCCTTCTTGTCTCTCAGCTTCTTCACCAGTGTATCTTCCAATTACCAGTGCACGTAGTAGAGGTCCCACTTCTGCTGGATCTTTCAGAGCTTCCAACAGCATTTTCTCAACATTGCGCATAACAGCTAATTTTTGTCGTGGTTTCAGAGGATACTCTATCTTCTCAGTAGGGCCTCCCTAAAATGTAAATATCAGAGGTTACAATATGTTTTAAACCTGTTGCTTATCAAAGTGTAGAATATTGTACACTCGCCATGCAACAGTCCTGTTGCCTCAACTGATTCTTCATTAACCCAGAGATTCTGAGACCTGTGAGGTCTCAGAATCTCTGGGTTTATAAAGAAGTAGGTAGGGTGACAGGACTTTTGTTGGCAAGTATACAATGCATGCTAATACAGTACCATAAAAGAAATTCCCCACTTCGCACTTCACTTTACTTGTCATCTTGTGCACATGGATTATGTTTCTATCTACAGTATATAAGCTTATTCCCTGGTCTGTTTTTCCCCACTTACAGTATTATTTCCGTTAGCTGGAATCCCTCAAACCCAGAACACGCCAAGAGCCGGAAATGAAATTTGGTTGTAATTTTTCTGTAAAATTCCCTAAATTATGGTTTGGGGAACAAATTCCAAGTTGAAAATCAGGAGCATTTTTTCCTAATAAATAAAAAGAACGAAAATTGGTCTAAATTTTTATTTCTGGGACTAGGAGCAAATGCCGATTATGAAATAATGCGCAATTACCAGAAAATCTGAGAAAATTGTGAGAAAATCACTCAAAACCTTTCTGTTCAGGCCTACGGACAAGGGTTCCCAGCATTGTGAAAGATTGCACCATGTACAGTAGGGGGCAGGGAAAAAACACTTTTATTTGAGTTGCAGGCTGCACTTTTCAGGCATCGTTTGTATGGCTGTAACAAACACCTGTGCAAAATTTCATGCCATTTCATGCATACTTACCCTGCCGCATCGCGAACGACTTTTTGTCAACTTTTAGTGTATACCAAAAATTAGGTGTCATTTAATGTTTTCCAGGATAATGATAAATTTTACATGGGTGACATCGATTTAATTCACATGTTATTTTACAGGTACACCGTATAGAAAATCATTACAAGTTCATATTGAAATTCTTTTTTGTGCGGAACCTTGGCATCATTTTCCTAGACAATAATCTTTGCCTAATATATCCATCTCTCGATTCGTATCCCGTCACTTCAGTGCAAGCTTCAGTCATCACTTTTATGTCTCTCTCGACCGCCTGAGTGCTGTTTGGCCACTTGGGCACCACTAATGGTGTCTCAAGAATGTCATTAACCTGTAGATTTGACAGAGAAGCAATGTAAGGAGGCTCAGTCTTGAGTTCATTCCTCCAGTTAATCATGGAATGATTGTTTTTTGCTTGCCACTTTAGTTTCGGAGTCACCACCTTTCTCATGTTGACTACAGGAGGCACAACCTCATTCCCATCTCCATCTTTACCCTCCTCATCAGTTTAGTTTAACAAATTCTCGTCAACAGCAGCATCAGAATCTTCCTCCTCCTCCTCTTCAGATCTGCCAGTGCATTCTTCCTTTTGCTGATTCTCCTCTCTAATTTTTCTTATCATTGAGACAGCTTTTTCTCTAACAGTCATGTCCTCATCTGCACACATACCAAGAAGAAGTTGATCTGTGTGGGCGAAGTATGCATTTCTCTGGACAGCCTTCTTCACTATCGTCTCCTCCTCACTATTCAGGTGTTTCATATATAGCAGGGACTGGAATACGTTCCTTGAGCCGTGTGTTATGTAAGGGTGTATCTTGATGTAAAACCACATTGGAGCACTGAACTTTATTATTGTAATGACAATTCTTTTCAACTCATGGCTGGGTCTTGATGTTGCTACATACAGCCTGAGGATTCTACTCCATAAGGTGTTCCACCTTGACACACAGGGAGGACCTGGCTCAATAGCAGCCAAGTCATCTTCAACAACACCTGTGATAACTCCTTTACAAATCCTATACAGGTATTTCTGATCCCAGGACAGATCTTTCTCCACTTCATCATTAAACACAGGGAAATCAGGGAAACTGACTGGCTGGAAGGCGACAACTGGAAGCTCAGACAAAGACTCCTTGATCTGCTTTCCAATGGGACCACGCCAATGCTCAGGACCACTTGGTTTACCATCATAGTGATAAAAAACTGCGCGGAAAGGCAGCTCATTTCCGTGAAGCTGACATATGAAATAATGGAGCGGGTGACCAAGTAACATTTCAAGATGATGAATGACTCCATTTTCTGATCCTACATTTACATTGGTTCCATCACAACCAACACACACAATGGGCTGCTGGGTTAGATTTTTCTCCACCAGAAACTCGTGAATAGTTTTGGCAATCTGCTTTCCGTGTCCAGTCTTGGGAGTCACATGTGTGAGATATTCATTGCCAGGCTCAACCATGATGACATAATGATCTTTCACCATCATCCTCGAACTCCATTTCTCGGTCTTCTCATTCTTTATCATCACACGAGTGGCGGTCTTCTTACCATCAAAATAGAGTGACGTCAAATTATCTAAACTAGCCATCTCAATTTCTTGCCTCTTAAATCGGTATTTTTGTCTCGCATCCCGCAGCTTATGTGGTCCAATAACCTGACTCTTGTCATCCTTTGTGATAATGTCATAGTCAGTTAAGGTGGCAGTAGCAATGGCAACTTAAATAAAATAAGAGATATGAAAAAAAAGTTGATAAACACTGAACAGAACATTGCACCGCCACAGCGGCTGTTTGGCTAGTACTGTAGGTAAATTTAAAAATTTCAGTAGAAAATGCGGCAGACTAAACCTCGACATATCAGCTTCAAATTTGGCATGGAGTCTTAGATATGTATAAGGAACAATGCCTGAAGAGTGCAGCTTTGAGCAAAATTTCACTGCCCCCTAATGTACAGCTACATCCTCACATGGTTAGTGCATGGGTGGGAAGACCAACGGCTTGGGTAACACTGGATTTTTCTGCTCGTGGTCTATTTATAAATACTGTGCAAATAATTTTTTTTTAAATCTACATATACTGTACAAGACAAAAAACAGAAAATAATACAGTAATAAATCAATGTAATTCCTAGCTGAGTTAACGAGGCAAAGAGTGAGGTGACGATGTAGTAGGTGAGGTGACATGCCAAGACACTTAACACAGCACACACATTAACAGCACTTCTAAATCATTGTCTTATAACATTTAATATATAATTTCTATTTTAAAATTATTAATATATGATGGCTTGATTTGGCTACTTTTGCACTTAGACAACTGATAAGAGTTTATTAGCCCCTGTCTTATAGGCAGAAGTATTTATATAAATGGGTTAATTACATTACACTTATATTCTTTATCACCCCCCGTAACTTTCCACTAGCTATATAAATGGGTTAATTACATTACAATTATATTCTCTATTACCCCCTGTAACTTTCTCTGACGTGTTGTCACGGATACCCAAAAAATGTTCTGTACTACTGAGGGTATACACAAACACTTGTTGTCTTAAAAGTAGGTTCTATTCTCGTACGGGAGATATATATACAATACGACGCAGAAGCTCGCGTTCACACACCACGAGGACTCTGTCTTCTCTCTCTACATCTATCTATGTATTACTGCGCGCTGGGATGTACAGATGCCAGCATTCACAAGCTGAATACATATAGTATAAATATGATAATTTATATACATAATATGGTGCACAATAAATGGAATAATACATAGAATTAATACATGTTCTGTAATACTTTACTATACATAATTAATGGAGTAATATAAGAGTAATATAATAATACACAGCTGAAGGTACTACTTTGTGTCCATATATCATACACCTCCCTCCCCCCTATACGCTCATAGTTTCATCTTGAGCGGACCTTTTGTTTATGAGTCGCTCGGACCTGCGGAGTACTGGGGCAGAAACTCAAGGTGGGGATGGATTAACATTAGGGGACTCAACTGGGGAGGGGTCAACACTAGGCAGCTCCACAGGTCAGAGGAAACGACGGTTCCTCCACCATACTCTACCACTAGGAAGACGCACTTGGTAGTCCCTGGACCGGCCAATACTCATAACAACCCCAACCTTGTCCCAGCGGTGAGATACCGGATCTTGAATCCTGATCTGCTGGCCGATACTCAACCTGGGAAGGGGGCGGGCATGACAGTCATACCGAGCAGCGACATCTGCGGCTCGTTCTGCTGCACAGCGGTCACATTCCTCAGTCTTGGCCTGCCACTCTTGAGAAAAAGACTTTGGGTGGGCAGGAACACAAGACCTAAGATGATGTCCGTATAGAACCTGGGCTGGGGAGCGTCCGGTGAAGTTCGGGGTGTTGAGTAACTCCAACAAACCTCGATCGAAGTCCTCGCAGTCGATATTTCCAGAGGGTGACACCTTAAGGATCAGGTGTTTCACAGTCTTGACTGCGGCTTCAGCGTGTCCATTCGCCTGGGGGTAGTGGGGCGAGGTCACGACATGACGGACTCCCCAACGGTCCATGAAGTCCCAGAACTCGTGGCTGGTGAACTGGGGTCCTCCATCAGTCCTGAGGCGGAGGAGAACACCAACTTCTCTGAAGTAATGTCTGCAGCTCCGGATGGTAGCAGTAGACGTTGTATCACTACCACAGGGGACGACAACAGGCCATCCAGACAGTCGGTCGGCAATGACGAGGAAGGACTTCCCTGCTACTGCAAAGAAATCGGCCGACACAGACTCGAAGGGTCTTGAAGGGTTGTCGTCGCACATTAAAGGTTCCTGTTGCTGGCTGGGTTGCAGAATCTGGCACGGCTCACAGGCACGGACGGTACTTGCAATGTCCGCGTCGATTCCGGGCCAAAATATAGTCTGCTTCGCCCGTCGCTTGGTGGCCTCCACTCCTCGATGGCTGTCGTCAAGGCGGGTCAAGGTACGGCGGCGTAGGGCAGCAGGAATAACTACTCGTGGACCATACAAGACGAGGTCTCCGTCACAATAGAGGTCCTCGCGTATTTTCCAGTACGGGAGAAGCGATTCATAAAGGTCGTATCGGTTAGATGGAAATCCCTGAGACACACAGTCGACGAGCCGGATGTAGGAAGGGTCGGCCCGGGCTGCGGTGCGGAGATCTTCAAGGGTCTTGTCTGCATCCAGTGC